CTCCAGCCCAGGCCCCTCTGCTGAGCTCTAGACACCTCACCCATGGGTCTCTTCAACAACTCTACCTAGACACCTCACAAGCCTCTCACACTCAACACAGCCAACGCCAACACCATTCTCTCTCCATCCCTCCCAAATCCACTTCAGCATCTGTGTTCTTTGTTTTAGAAACCTCTATTGTCTCACTGAAACATCCAGGGAGTGAAAGTCCTCCTCCATTGGGTTCCTGATGGAAGTTTGCACACGGTGACCTACTGAGAGCGAATTAGTTGCTAATAAGTGGTAGGCAGAGTATGTTCATGTCTCCAGGTGAATCTTTAAGACGCACAGTATTATACAGACCAGATAAGCATTGTGAAAACTGGCATGCAGGAGGGGAGGAGATAATTTTCCAAAGCAACTGTCCCCCCTCCTCTCTCTCTCCCCCTCCTCTTCCTCCCCCCATCTTTCTCTGTCCCCCACCTTTTCTCTCCCCCTCTCCCCTCTTCTCTTTCTCTCCTTCCTTCTCCCTCTGCCTCTCTCCCTCTTCCTCCTTCCCCTTCTCTCTCTCCCTCTTCCTCCTTCCTCCTCCTTCCCCTTCTTTCTGTTGCTCCCCTGCTCTTTCTCTTCCTCTCTCTCCCTCTTCTCTTTTTCTTTCTTTCCCTCTCCCTCTCCTCCTTTCCCTCCTCCCCTTCTTTCCCTCTCTCTTACCCTTTCTCACCCTCTGCCATGGCTCTTAACCACCATCGAGCATTCTGTATAACTTACTTATATCTCATGGTTCTGATTGCTTTGGGTCTACCTCATCATAAGTAAGCTCCACAGGGCAGGGATCTTTTTATTCACTGCTGAGTTCCAAGCACCATGTGGTAGCCAGCGACTCTAGAAGTATGTGTTAGATGAAAGAATTTTAAAGTTAAAATTGCTCTTAAAAGTGATCTTGCTGGCCACAGTGGCTCACACCTGTAATCCCAACACTTTGGGAAGCTGGGGAAGAAGGATCGCTCAAGACCAGCCTAGGCAACATAGCGAGACCTTGTCCCTACAAAAAATAATATAAAAAATTAGTTGGGTGTGTTGGTGCATGCTGGTTGTCCCAGCTACTTGGTAGGCCGAGACAGAAGAATCACATGAGCCCAGGAGGTAGAGGCTCTGGTGGCAGTAATGATGCCACTGCACTCCAGCCTGGTCAATAGAGACCCCAACTGAAAAAAATAAATAAGTCAGCTCGTCAAATCGTCAGTTTTTCTTGACAAATCTGATAACGGACTCCTTTTGTAAATCACAACCCTCTGTGATCCAGGTAACCACATCTCATAGAAGATGGCCCATTGCGCTGGAAAGAGCATGGTTCTTGGTCAGCCAAGGGGGCCCAAGGACCCCAGCTCCCAGAGGGAGTCAGGGGTCAGCCCGCTCACTGGCCTTCTCTGAGCCAAGGTTTCTTGTCTATAATGTGAAATTAGCAACTTCCTCTTTTTTTCTTTTCTTTTTTTTGAGTCGGGAGTCTCACTCTGTGACCCAGGCTGGAGTGCAGTGGCATGCTCACAGCCATCACAGCCTCAACCTGCTGGGCTCAGGCGATCCTTC